CAACTTGTGCGAATATGGAAGTCTTGGACGAAGTCAAAACAGAGCGATGCGGGGTCGGTGATGAACCTATCCTTTCTTTCTCTCCTTTGGTCTTCACCTCGCGCTACCTCCCCCGGTAAAGAGGGCGGACTAATTATAATGAACCCGTTCGCCACGAATGGGAGAACGGCCATAACGACGTTTATTCTCGTCCCGAATGATTCTACAGCCTACGACGGTCGCGTCGGGCAATAAGAAAAGGATGAGTCTCCAGAAGAAATGCGGCGACGTCACGCCAACAGAGAAGGTGCTAAACGGGTGACGGCAATCTCTTTGTGGCGCCAATTATTCCAGAAATGTATTTTGAATTAAGTTTTGTCACGTTAGAAGCTAATAGACCACTTAGAGCTTTGCGATGATTTTTAGTCAATTGAGAATGACTAACGTTTAAAGAATGGAAATGTTCGAGATTTTAAATGCTGAGTTTTTTATCATTAAAAGATTTGCAGATGAACAGTTTTCTTGATATTAGCTCGACAAAAAAAATAACAAAAAAGTAGATCTCTTTTTGATGAAATTATAAGTGTGCATTCATCATTCTCACTATGCAATCCATGTAATGTTCATTCCGGAATCCGATGATTATTGCTTCGAGAAACGCAGCGTGGAGCAGAAAAAGAGAGAAACATACAGCTGAGGGATAAGAAAGCGCGATGGATGGATGGATTGGGAAGCGAGAGATAAGTAGAAACAGGCTATACACAGAAAGAAAAAAGGTGCTAAATAGTAGGGGTCTCCACGGGACGGGAGAATAGGAACCATAACGTAATTTTGACAGAAATAACGCCGCCGCATTTGCCGAGAGACAATAAGTTCGCGACACTCTCGCGGATCTTAGAATAGTTTAGTGTCGCTCGCTCTCTCTTTCTCTCCCTTTCCGTTCACTTTCTCCCTCTCACATTTCTTCACTTCGCCTCTCGGTCCCCCTTATCACCTACTCTTTCCCTATATATTCTCCCTTTGTACGAGTTCCCGCTGATGCTGGCGCCGACATACTCCGTGCTCGCGTTTGGACAGACGCTAGAAACCCATCGGTCACGATAGTCAGTTGACTTTTACTCGTATTAATACAAACGATTGCTATTGACATATTCAATTACCTCTATTATCGAACTATATCCAGCATGTTCTGATTGCGTTAAAAATACGGCGTAATATTATGAATTTCCAATGGAAAATATCTCGGATCTATTGACTGTAATTTCGTTAAATGTATATTTCATTATGTCGCTCAGAATGGGTATCTTGTGGCAACTATCGTATATTGGGAACAAAATAAAGATAAGGAAATTAGCCTTTGTTCGCTCGCCATACGGCAGAAGTGCTGCGAATCGATATGAAGTACTCTAACGTTGATTCTGGGTTATTAAATCGCATCTGGTCGGCGCGGCGCGGCGGTACCATTCGCGAAGCCATTTTTCCGGAAACAATGTCGCGACGAGGACCATCGAGGAAGGGTTGCAGACCTAACCGGGGGTAAAGGAAAAAGCGGCGAGTGAGGGCATGTACTTCGGTGCTTGTTCACATATTTCTTTTTTTCACCGGTATTTAGAACCTCTCGAGAAGAAAAAGCGTTCAATGGGGGTCGCCGTGGCTAAGACGACGAATTGGCGAGCGCAGCGGGCACTCCACGCATTATCCAAACACGCACTTTCATAGGTTGCGTGAACCCCTCCGTGCGCGCGTATATAAACGTACGTGTGAGCACACGTGTAAGTGCACCAAGCGAGAGAGCGAGAGGGAACGATACGCGCGCGCATGAGCGCACGATGGAGGTAGCGACCGTTTTCTGCGTGGTACCTCGTATAAAGGGTTATTCGCTCGGCCCACGGATTAAATGATAAAAAAGGAAAGCGACCCTGAAATACGGGGTCTTTTCAGGTTCGGGTCTTTTTGAAAATTTTAGACTCCCTCCTCGCCGCGCCTCTCGGCTCTCGGATGGTTGTCCCGTTTCCATCTCTCCACGGTTTGGGATCGGCTCCCGACTTCCCGCTCTCTGAGCAGCTTTAAGAACTACGTATAAAAGGGTTCGAGCTCAAAGCCGCTGGATGCGAGAAGGAAGGGAGTCCTCCTGACTACGTGTCGTCCTGGGGGTTTCACATATTTTTTAAGATTTGCTCTTTAAGCCCCGTCACGTCGTGCATATTCTCCATTTGGTGTCATCGGTAACGTGCGTGGCTCCGTGTGGGTGGTATATGATACTCCCCCTTCTCGTGGAAGGGGAGCATTAGATCATCTTGCATTTTTTTGCGATGTAATACTTAATAAGCATGACGAGCTTTCATAAAATTTAATTTTCTAGAGTTTGAATCTCGAATCGTGACTCAGAACATTGTTGTTTCTCGCTATTCGAACTTAATCATGTAATTAAAATTAATTAAATTTATTTTGAGTTAAAATTAAAGTTAAAATAATTGGATATATTAACGTTGCAAATAATAAGGTGGAATATGAGACGTTCTATCCTTTTCCGTAACATCAAGTGTTTTAATTTGAACGACGTCATTCGTTGTGTTCCGAGACTGTAAATCGATCAGTTTTTTCTTTCTTCGAGGCGTTTCAAGGCTGCGGTGTGTTTCACTTACGTACTATCACGATTTTGGCACGCTTCCCGGTTTGCATAATTAAGCGTCGAAATGTTTGACATTCTTGGATACGAAAGAGGAATTGGTCAAACCGTGTGCACATTATATTCTCCCGGGACGAACTCTGGCTGTTTGATATTTATCTTCGATTAATACGTCGATGCCTTGTACCTAGGCCTTGGCCCGAGAAGGAGCACTCCTCGATTACGTACTTGAAGCTTCGACCCGGCAAACAACGTATAGCGCAGCGGCAGCCAAGCCAACGCGGATTATAAATTTGTGCAAACAATAGTTTCCCGCAGCGTGAAAGCCAAAGGTGCCTTTAATGAGCGGCTGCGCGAGATACGCGACATCGAGATACGCAGCTACGTTGCGTAATTACTCAGCCAAAGGATAAGTTAATCGCCGTAACCGAATGTTACGCAACGACGCGTAACTGGAAGCATATCCGGTGACACCGGCGCTTATTATTAAATCGGCCGGAGTTACTCGACTTCGCTGGAGAGGAGCGATCCGATCCACGTGAGGGCCGGGAGAACTTTCGGATTCGCGTAGAAATAACGTATATAATAAGGTGTGTAAAAGACTCGCTGCATCTATCCAAAGATCTACGTTTCTCCGTTATATCGCAGGAGAATAATGTGCGCCGAATTCTCCCTCGCCACACTTTTTTCCCTCTTGTAACACTCGTCCCTCTTTCTTCGCTTTCTCTCTCTTTCTCTCTCTTTCTCTCTGCAGACTAAACCCTTTCTCTTTTTGTACTGAGGCGCGTATACGCTCTTGCAGAAACGCACGAACGGCCAATGTACGCGCGTTCCCTCCGTTTCTGACGGCACATATATACCACGAAGAGCGGGGAGTCCTCGCGAGCCACGAGAAATATTCGACAATTTTTAAACTCGTTCCTGAACACGCGGACATTCAAACGCGCGCGCCTTGCAGTCAGCAAGTAGGAATTTCTGAGAATCGACCTCGTCCTGGTAGGGTGCACCAAACGCTGGATGACGCGTGTGATAGATGTTGTAGGATTAAAACACTCGAGCCCGGAGGACACTCGGTTTCGGGCCATGTGACACATGATTTGTTATCTTCCTATGATCGGCTCCGCAGCGTCCAATAAATCAATGTGGCTGCAATGTCCCTTTGTTCTTAATTCATTGATACGGTCTAGCTGTTATATACAATTATCTTTTCGTACGTCACATCTCATGCTGCTTAATTTTGCAGATTTGAATTTCTTCGATGTTACAATGTGTCAATCTAATGCCCGGCGGAAAAGCACAAGTGGGCAGTTGTGGAAGAGGTTTGCCGGCCCCGCGGCATTCGGCGTGCCCGAATAATAAAATTTAAATACATTCTGACAAGAAATGCAAATACGACCACTTGAGAGTGCTTTAACTGTAGAATTATTCGTTTAGGCAAAAAAAGGGGGAGAACGGCGTGGTATGTGCGCGCAATTTATTTCCATCTCTCGTGTGCGCATTACCTCGGGAGATAATTATCGCGAGCGAGGATTGGTCAACCGAATTGCGTCTCGCGCTCAATATTTTCTTGCGTGCCGCGGCCGTTTCGAGTCTTTTAGGAGAGCTATGAACGCACACGCCGAGGTAAATGCTTACGCGCCTCCGCTTCGCCCGCGGCCACGCCGCGCTTTTTGCATATGTGTACTGCGATCGACCCGATAGTTTTTTTTACGCTGACCATTCTTTCCTCTCCCGCGCTCTCTTTTTTTCGCTCTTTCTCTCTCTCTCTCTCTCTCTCTTTTATTTCGCGGCATACCCATGCGCGCCCATCGGACAACCAGTTTTCGGTCGCGCGGGAGAGTGCCATAGGTCGACGAACGGTGCGCTCATAACTCGCGGTATGTGTATCAGAAGTCATTCTGGTATGCGCGTCTCCTCTGGCGATTTAAACGCGAACCGTATTATCCAGAATGATAGTATTGCCCAGAACACACGGTCGGTAAAATAAGATGGTTGCTTGTAGAGGGACGTGTACCAGCGAACCAGCTGGTATCGACCGAATACCCATCTGGCTCGCACGGAAAGTCGTGACGAGAAGGAAACCTCGCGCAGATTTCTAGAGCAGTCTGTGATCCACTGAGATCTGACGATTTTTAAATTCGAAATTTGATGCAACTTTTAGATTTACGACAGTATTTATTAACAAATATTTCGTTAATATAGCATATATTATGCGCTAAATAAAAATTATATTAACGTAATATCTATTCTATATTAAATAAAAGCAGACAATCGTTATCAAAATATTCTTGTTTATTTGATTTTATTTTTTTTTTTTATGAAATCTTTTTTCGTACGTCGACTTAATAATCGATTTAATTTAATAAATACGATCCTCCCTCGTTTGTCACAGCCTTGCTCAGGCAGAGTATGTCTCCGGTAGCGGATTCTCTGATGAGTGGTTCGAAGACGTCCGTGTCCCAACCGATCATCGATTATTCCCGATATGTGAGGAGATATACATCCAGTCAAGAATGCGGCAGTACGTACTGCAAAGAACTGGGCTGCAGAGAGCACTTTCATTGTCTGGACTGTAGCGGGAGGGTGTTTGTGAAGAAGGAGGAAATGATCAGGCACTTCAAGTGGCATAAGAAGAGGGACGAGTCTTTGCAGCACGGCTTCATGAGGTACTCGCCGATGGACGATTGTTCGGAAAAGCACCCTGGCCGGGCCTGTCCGCACAATAGAAAGCAGACCCACTATCATTGCATCCACGAGAATTGCGACAAGGTATACATATCGACATCGGACGTGCAGATGCACGCGAATTACCATCGCAAGGACTCGGCCATCATACAAGAGGGCTTCCAGCGATTTCGGGCCACCGAGAGTTGCGCGACTGACCATTGTCAATTCGTTGGACAACGGACCACGCACTTTCACTGTCGTCGACAGGGATGTCGGTACACGTTCAAAAATAAGGCCGATATGGGTAAGGAACGAATGCTCGCGTGATTAATGCGCTCGCCCGCGTTTTAGGTCGAAACTATCGTCAATTAAAGCCTTTCACTGGAAACTTAACATATCAAACGTTTCAGATTTAATTCTTACGCTGAGAAATTATTACGTTAATAAATTTTTATTTAACGCATTTCATTATACTTATGGTCGTTGTTTCAAATCTCCGTGATTTAAACTACAAGTTTTCTTTATTTTTTTTCTAGACAAGCACAAGTCTTATCACATCAAGGACGAACAGCTGTCGCGCGATGGTTTCAAGAAGTTTATGAAATCGGAGGCCTGCCCCTTTGATCAGTGCCGATTCTCCCGTGTTTGCAATCACATTCATTGCATACGACCGCATTGTAGCTACGTTCTGCACTCTTCCGGTCAGCTTTTTTCACACAAGCGAAAACATGAGCGTCATGAATCAGAACTAGCTTATCGGAAATACAAGCAGGTCACCGCCGTAGGTGGTACTCGTCCGCCTGGATCATGGGCGCCGGACGAGTTGAGCGCTCAAAGCTTATCTTTAAGTATGAACGGTGAGAGCTCGAACGAAGGCAGAGGCTCTCCGTCGTACTACTCTTTGGAAGATTCTTTTCAAAGCGCGAGTGACCTCGCTATGGATCTCACTGCTCCGACCACGACTATTACGGCTAGCGGAAGTTCCGTTAATCTCGATCAGCAGCAACATCAACAATCTCAACAACTTACCGCCGCCGAATTGGCCTATCTGGTACCGGCCACCTCGGATTGCGCCTGTAACGCGGGCAGAGAACATCATCATTGCGGATTAGATCGCTGCGGAATGACCTTGAAAGATCCCCGGGAAGTCAGAGAACATCTGAAGGAACACGAGACGCAGGAACGCATTACGGATGCTTTCTTTGAAGAGGGTGGCTGCGACGACAGTTGTCCGTACGCAGACAAAGAGAAGCATTATCATTGTAATTGGGAGAACTGCCGAGAAGTGATACTTTCCACCGACAAGCCGTTTCGCAGATTACAACATTACAAGATCCACGAGTATAGCCGGCAGTTAAACCTCTCTTGTTCCTCGCACGCCCTTTCCTCCGATGTTACATTGACCCACCTGACGAATATCGATGCGATGTTCAGGCGGAAACGCGGTAGACCGCCTAAAAATCGTGTGATAGAAATCTGGTCGGGTGGCGACCCCGCGACGCACACTCACGATTCGCCGCAGGCGATCTTCACGAGTTTTAAGCTCCCGAAACCGCAAACTCCTAATTTAACGTCTAATATGCTAATGGAGGATCGAGAGGGTAGCGTGTCGCCTTCGAACAGTCTGGGCGAACCCGAAGGATTTGCTACGTACAATTCGGAAGGATGTCCGGACGTGGCCTGTGTTCTTAGATTGACCAAGCATCATCATTGTTCGCAACTACGGTGCCATTTCTCTACCGATCGACCAGACCAACTGCTCATGCATAGTAAGGATTTCCACGACAACGTCGACATACCACCGGGCTTCGCCTTCTATGATAAGATGGTCGACTGTCGGCTGCCTGGCTGTCATAGCAATCGCGTTAATCGGCATTTTCATTGTACCCGACCGAATTGCGGATACTCGTTTGTTAGATACTCGACAATGGCGTTACACGAGAAGCAGCATTCTTCCGGCCATGCCGAATCCTGCGGTCAAGAGTCGAACAATCAAGAATGTCAAACGCAGCTTCAATCGTTGGTCCAGGAGACGAAGCCAAGAATCCAAGTGAAGAATCCCGCCGAATTGATCGAGAAGCCCGATGAGAGTCTGACGATAGTTGATCAGGAGAGCAGATCGATAATCGAGGACAAGGAATCCGAGCTTGCGAGTCCCGACAGCGGCAAAACCACCGGTAAGTATGAGAAGAGAGCACGGATCTGAGCACTCGAATATCAATATTTGGGCAAGTTTGGCAATGAACCTTTTTTTTCCTTTAAAAAACACATCAGATACTTTCTTTCACTCAAGTATATATGCATGCTGTTCTTTGCACGTAGTCGCACACCAGTTTATACGTTATACCTTGCGTTTGTCGTTGAAGTAGGACACTCTTCGCTATTCTTCGTTGTTTGTTTTTTTTTTCTCATTGTTTGTTTTATTATTTTATTTTCTTGATGTACATACTATATACACGGTGGTTGTATTCATTGCGGGCGGTATATTTGAAGTTGGTTGTTTGGTTGATTGTTGCTAGTGGTGAGGGCGGCTGGCACCTATTATCCGGTCAGCGGACCGCCGAGTGAACCCGCACTTCCGGGCGTCGTGTTATCCATGCGAACTTCCGTGCACCAAGGTTCGTCTGTCTCTTTTCGACCAAGTTTTGTGCTTTTGAGAGTGTTCCTGTATTAGTAAATTAGTTCTTTTTCGTTTCTCGCGCATGCGAGCGGACGATCCGAGCTCACAGAAATCTTTGACATTGCAGAACCGCCGGTAATGCCGTCTATGAGTTCTACCTCGCCGCACACCCTGTATGGACCGGAACAAAGTTGCAGCAGGCCATTCTGCAAGCTGAAACGCAAGAATCATTATCACTGCAACGCCTGTAATCAGGCTTTCTCGGAGTTAGATCGTCTGGTCGCACATATAGCGAAGCATTCGACTGGCGCCATTCTCAGTCAGCAGCAACACGACATGGTCAGCCCGTCGCCTAATCAGCTGCAACACGATTACATCGCGCAGCTGTCGCAGAAGCACGACTTCATGTCGCCAAACGCTCAGATGGCTCAGAATATTCAAAACTTCCAGAGCCAAATGCAGCGGCAGATGCAGCAGACTTTCAACCAACAGTCTCAATCGAAAGACATCAAGTTAGAAAAACCGAGGTGTAGCATCGACATCGGTGTGCAAAATGTCCCGAACGTTAAGCGGGAACCGCCTGAAATTGCATGTAGGGACGAAGGCAACAATACTGCGATAGATAATCACGAAAACGGTCAATTAGCGCAACCACCAATTCAGCCTACTAATGTGCAACAGCCTTCGATACCGACAAGCTTTGAGCTCGATCTCAGCCACGGCTTTCATTTTCCGAGCCCTGCTGTGATGGCAGCGATGAACCAGCAGATCGCCCTAATGAATCAGGCTCTACCGCCATTTCTTCAGCACGGTGGAATGTATGCTGGTGGACCTGGACTGATGTTCGCGCCCGGTTTACCACCGACCAATTTTCTTCCACCTACGAGAGATGAAAATCCCTTAGCCTCGCTGGCAGCTAATCTTAATCTGAAAAGATCTCTCTCACCGCCAGACGCTAATTCACCGGAAGCCAAGAAGCAAAGACTTCATCATTCAATGCGTATGCTGAAGGATGAGCCTGTACCGGAGGGATATGTCAGGTTGGTATGATAATTTCGTGACTCAAAATGATTGACTCAAAATTCAATTTTATTTTCTCGTTGTTACAGATTCAGATTCAACGAGGACTGTAGGTACCCTCATTGCGGCTACAGAGAGCATCAGACTCACTTCCACTGCATGCGTCAAGATTGTGGCTATTCGTTCTGCGACAAAACTCGTTTTGTGCAGCATACCGCGAGGCACGAGCGGCTGGATACCTTGATGGGGGGTGATTTCCAGCAGTATCGGGCCAACGTGCCATGTGGCAGGGCTCAATGCGCGTACACGTCGTCTCTCGGATCAATGCAGAACAAGGCGTCGCATTTTCATTGTTTGAAGTGCGACTTCGTCTGCACAGACACGAATAAAGTGGTCGCTCATCGGCGGCAACACGCCAAGCTGGACAGTATCGCGGCGGCGGGTTTCCAGAAATTTACTCCCAGTCAACCGTGCGGAGCTGTGCAGTGTCAACATTCTGGCAAGCAGACGCATTATCATTGTCTGCAGTGCCAATATGCAGTGTTGGGTCTGGCGCAGATGTCGGCGCACAAGTACCGACACATGGACACCTAACGATCTCCCGTAGAAGTTCTGTGGTAGAATGCCCGAATAAAGCATTACCTTGGTCCCTGTAGACATTCCCTAGAGAATGGCGTTGCCATCTTCTCCCGACTAATAGGTGGAAAATCGAGCGAAACCGGTAGGGGACTAGTCAACGACTTTGTCGCAACTCGATATGCCCACCGTCGATAATTGCCGCGTAAAAGAAAGTCTAAACGATCGTCCGCGAAATTCCGGAAGACGCCTATTAAAAGACAAATTCCTAGTCCCTATAGACATTCCCCGAAAGAACACTCGAGTGCCTCGATCGTTCATGGTCGAGCAATGTTCCTGGTAATATGGATGATCAGTGGCAACCGGTAGGGGGCTAGTCAATAACGTTTATCTTCAGAATGAATACTATTAGGTCGAGATCTTCGAATCAAAATACCTTCGGTATCTGTAGCTACGTCGAGGAAACGTTAAGACGATTCGGTCTCTTCGTATATAAAGTCTAAGCATTAAGGTGAACCAACGAAGAATCGGGAAAACGATTGCATCGTCGAGCAATCTTTGCAGACTCTAGAAACGCTTCCACACGTGAACAAGACAGAACTTTGATATGGCGTAAATTCAATCGGGGATTACGAGGTTTATATGTATAGTCGAATCTCAAAAATTCTTCCGCACCATGACTCTCGGGAACCGGGAACGAGAACGAGGGACGCGAGAATCTGGCGTAGCACTAAGACAATAATACGAAGACAAGTCTATGATATAGCTTTAGCATGAAAAAAAGACAAAGTATAATATTTAATAGGAGAAAAAAGAAATCTTGTACATTTTTTTCCTTTGTTAGTGTCATCCTATGCCTATGTACCCTCCGTGAAGTCCTTACGACGATCTAGATCATAGAATAGTTTAATGCATTGTCCGTAAAGAATGAAGAGAAACAGTAATACGAAGTGGCAAATTGACGACGCGACAATTTAATTAATATTCTTTATGCATTGCGAAATAGTAGGAATTAATGCGACGGTCATATCTTTCGCTTTGGCACTGAAGAAGGGAGGAGAAGATATCATTTTCCTATCGTCTAGACTACGAAAATAAAAATGCCTCTTGCGTTATGTCGGCGGTATTAGTGTTCCTATTGCGCAATCGATAACGAGAAGATTCAATAGTAGCTATCACATTGAGTACTCTTTATCTTTTTATCTCTAATCATTTTTTACGTTTGTTGTAAAAGTTTTCAAAACAGTTGCTTCGTATGGGTTTCTCTATTAGTAATTGCAAATTATTTATTTAATTAATTCGTATAATCGAGAGTTGATTGTGCAATGACGATGATCCGTTATAAATACATAAAATGGCAAAATAAAAAGAAACGCATATTTCATGCTATATTGCGTTCTGGAGGGTACGCGATGAATATTACAAGCAGTATTGATAAATTGAAAGTTAATTAGAAAGACTGCGAACCGCGCGAGTCATAAGAATGGAGGATAGAATGAAGAAGAGCGATGGTCGTTGAACGATCAAGTTAGAAAACGTGAAAATTAAGAGTTTGAAGAGACAGAAGTTATATTGCGAAAAGTAGAAAGAGAAAGAAGAAAAGATATATTCAAAGCATGTTCTAAAAAATTGGTCGCTGATCGACATAATGCAAAGCTGTTTAATATATGTATGTATAGTGTATATGTGTTGTAAAAATTGGTACGAATCGTTCGTGGAAGGAACAGATTTCTCGCTTCTTCTATTCCTAAAGCACGCTCAACGATGATACGATTCCACTTTCATTCAATAAGTTTTCTCCCGCGTAATCTCGTCGTACACTTCTTATCGTATTAGAAGCATCTTCGCTCTTTTTCATTTTTAAATGCAACCGAGAAAAGTGAATGTTTGCATTAATCAGGTATTTTCGAGACAAGTAACGGTTCGTTTGCACAGAGAATGATAATAACACCGGATGAACGATAAGGAGAGTATCCGGAGAGTTTAGCGCGTATGTTCTCGAGTAGAGACCAGAAGAGATACACGCATATCGGCGGATAATATAATTAAACGTAATACGCAGAAAATATTATGCGACTGCTCGGCGAGAGATGCCCTGTGGTGCCTTTAGGATCATTTCCGAACTTTTGTAGAACCGTGCCTTAGCAATTTAACATACAACGATACGTAGGAAACTATTTGTTCAACATAGCAGAACCGAATCGATAATCAGATCACACTAATTAGACCTACATCTTATTTGTAGCTATGATCGAATTTCGGAACAGAATAAATTGCAATTTATCATATTTACATAGATATGTGTGTGTATGGATTAAATGAAGACTAAAATCTAATTTTGAAAGACAGTTTATTCTGAAAATAAAAATTTTCTACTGCAATTATTGATAATTTCAATAAATTAATATCGTGGTTCCTGGATTAAATTCTTTCCTGAATTATTTTAATCGACTGGCCAAAAAACGATCATAGATTTAATAGTAAACAGAAGACGTTAGTGCCTTAAATACATGCTAGATACATTAACTAGATAAAACGCCGCAGAGTGTAGTCGCCGATATTTAAATGGTCATTTTCTAACGTTTTTACATTTTTTATGAAATATTTATATATATGTATAATTTATTTAAAAGGAAAAGAATTAAATCTGTACAATTTATCGTCGCCGAGAATGCCCTCGATTTTTTACATGCAGAATTTGATCTTAGAGAATGATACACGAACATTTTGCAAAAGATTCCTTAGAATAGTATTCAACATTTTATTTAACAATTTATTAATGTGAAACCTGTTTCCGTATACTGTAATTAATATTTTCATTAAGCGAAGTAAAAATATCTTATAATGTTGCATCAGCAGTAAAAGAATTTTTAAACGTTATTTTTTGAATATATCATGAAGAAATCTACAGTTTGTGATGTAATCAGAACCCGAATGTGTCTGCTCCTAATTAAGATATTGGTTTTTTTGATCGCATTAAATGATTAAATGATTAGTCAACAATCCGTGCTCCAATTTAAGTCGTAGATATTGATCGACCATGAATTCAAAAAGATATTTCATTTCTATAAACATATGCATTGTTACTGTCAAAGTTCAGACAAAAATATAAATAATTCCTTAAATATACAGAACAAAATCTCATAAATGTCACATATCAAAAGTATTTTAATAAAAAATCGTATTTTATTGCCGGATTTATGTTTGGTTTCAGCAAAGAAATATTAATTATGTAGTGACGTAAATAATTATAAAATGCTATGTATCAAAATGAACCGTGATAAATAATAGCAAAATTGTTTATTTTAATTAAAAGTTTTATCCGTACAACCCATAGTTATAAAAAAATACATTGGTGAAATTTTAAAAGCGACGATATGAATAGCAAAGTTCACGAAAAATTAAAATTTTATATTCAAAAAATCATATCTGATTCTTGCGATGTTTCACTTTACAATACTGAACTCAAAAACAGCCAAGCGAGACGGATCGAGCGCAGTGATGTTAGGAGGACCGATTATATTTCGGTCAATCGAGTTGATCCCTCGAAAATGAACCGAGGATCTCAATGTTCTAATAGTTTTCCTGAGATATTACAATAGTAGCATTCCATAGCAAGTTGATAGTCATCGATCCTGTCCACGCCGACGGTGCGTCGTCTTTACGCGGCAGTTAAAAAATCATGAAGAAAGTTCGTCGGTCTCGCGGTATCGTGTGTCGTATCAGCGATGTAACGCGATATCGAAGCGGATACCAATCCCAGAGTAGCGGTAGAAGAAAACGAAAAAGTATCGTTGTCAGAACCGAAGATATCGTTCGCATCGGGAACGTGGAGAGGCTAGAGTCCAGCCATTAAACAAGTGCCATAAAACCATGCTATAAAAAGTATAAAAGTCCAAGTTACTACATTAAGTCGAGAGACACTTGCGCGGGACTATGGAAGATTCAGCATGTGGTCGATAGACAAATCTGTATAATATTTATTTAGTATTTTAGAATCGATAGGGATGCGTGAGAAAAAGAAAAGAGAACGAACAGGAAATAGTGATGGAAATAGTCGAATACGAATGAGCAATTTATCTACTTGGAATGTAATTGCGAGAGATGAATTCTGATTGAGTGTCGAGTGACAAAGAGAAAGAGAGGATCATTAACAACGACGTATGATGGTTGCCTTATAAATATGGAGAACCTTTATTATATATATAATATATATAATTTATAAACATTATATTATATATATTATTATATAATATGAGATATGCATATATGTAATAACGTGGTCATGTGATCATGTGTCCGAAAACGACAACGGAAGCAAGATGAAAATGAAGCGATACAGTATGAGTATACCACTAGAGCGTATTATTATTCGAGAAAAGCTAGAAAGATTCTATCGTATGGTCGTTAGTGCTAAAATATCCGCTGTATGGATCTAAGAGAGAAGAAGCAATTATATAATTTTATCTATTATTATTATATTATTATTAATATTATTACTGTTTAATTTTGCCCGTCACGCTCGCCCTGTAGCCTTATTCGAACCTACACGACGATCATGCGGGCATTAATCTATGTATTATTCTCTATTATTATTATTATTATTTTTATTATTTGAAGTTTTACCTATCAGATCCATCGATACCGGCTTTCGAACCTACAAGGCGGATGTGTGGGTTCTATTATTATTATTATTATTATTATTATTATTATTATTATTATTATATTAATGATTATGGAACCAGATCGTATGTAGCTGTGATTTTGCTTTCAAAAAGTAAAAATTAAAAATATTTATAGCAACTGAGATGATATCTCTACATTTATATTTCGTTCAATTATTACCTTTAATCTATGCTTGTTACGATTTTTATTGTATATCGCTTTGTTTTCTTTTTTGTAAAATAGGCTAACAGTAAGAGATATTAATTAATTAATTAGCATGATGAAATAATCTGTATCATAAACTCATCGGTCGTCTGTCAATTCGACGGTTCTTATTCAGCATTTTGAGGTAACAAGAATTCAATTTCGTCGTGTCATATTTGATGCGGACGTTGCATATTCGGACATAAAAAATTGCCTAGTCTTCCAAGGAATACTTGATATTAGTCACGATATTAAGCGTCGACGCAACTCGTTATATATTTATACAGTTGCGTAAAAGTCGCGCATTCGGAAAAAATAATGTACAGCGATAAGAAGATCGTGTGCATAGTCCAGAGTACTCCAGAGTAAATGATGTCAATGCGTAAAACTTTTCGATGGACTTTGAAAGAGAGTTGCTTCACCTTTTTTAATCTGTTTTTAACATTGTTTTTAACTCTGGACGAAATAATCACGAGACTGTTTAATTAATATGGTTGAGATAGCAAAATTTTTTATTTGCCAAAATCCGCCGGTGTCGATTCCGCTTGTCACATATTAAGATTACAGAACTTAAACTACTAATTAAAATATCGATCTAAAGATCAAGGCGAGAAATAAATTAAAAAAGCAATTGAATTTTAAATTTATGTATACACACACAACACACACACATGTATCACAGATTTCCCTTTTCATATTATTCAGACATTCTAACGTATAATTAATAATTTATAATAAATTATTACTTAATTAACTGTTAATATATTCATTTCATATTTTAGATGTCGTTTTAGTCACTTTTGAACGAGAAAAAATTATTTATGATTCCAAGTAAAAAGTTCTGGTTAATTTAAATTTTAACAATGATTCACACATGACTTCGCAAGAGCATTTGGAAATCAAATTTAACAAAGTCAGCTAAACCTATCTCACAATTTTCCAACTACGTCCGTGGCAGTATACTCTTGTCAAACACTATTTGCTCTCATCCTGACTATTAGAGTCAATCAAGCGCGCAATACCTAGTGGGAAACGATCGACGAAGTGGAAGAGATACAGAGAGAAAAAGTGAGAGCAATAGGTAAAAGAGGAAAATTAGAATATATAAATATATAAATAAGAATTGTGACAGACAAATTATGATTCATTTTTTATCGATTTCTCGGTTTACAAAGACAGTGATACGATTTTTCACTTTTGTTTTACATCACGTCGCACGATGATTGCAATTTACTTTGCTAGTTTTTTATATCAAAGAGATGGAGTATCAATTTAATCTGTTGTAAGCAAAAAATGTATTAGGTTGATATTTTAAATTAAATATTGTGTTGTTCATGAAACCGGTATGATTGATTCTGGCGCGAAAAATTAAACGCATCGACTTAGAAAAGATGAATATGTGATCAGGTCGTACTGCAATTAAAGTTATTTATATTAGTTCTAAGCTGAAGGATCAGTAAATATTACATTGATATGCATAATAATTTTAAGCCAAAGATGAGAAAAATTTGAAAGAAACGAACTAAACACTATTTTTTTGTAAAAATCTTGAACTAAAAAATATTTGAATAACTGATGTTACTCCAATACATTTTTTTTTTTTTAATGAAACAAAGCCAAGTAAAATTCAATTGACTCTTTGTCATTAATACGAAAAAAACTAGTAATGAATGTTTTGAATTATATCGTTACAAAAGTGAAAAAATTTGAAAAATAACATTCTTCAAGAAAGATAACGGTAAGTGCTGAAATAAAATAAAAATTTTAAATGAGTGCGTGATGTAACTACGTAAGAAGCTCCGCTATAAGCATGCGTTATGAGAAGTTCCCCAACACGTGATCATTTCGTGATGAAGACGGATGGTCAATGGGGTTGTCTAACAAGTGCACGCGTTGCAGGCGTGACTTCGTTATTTGGTTGTGTCGCACTCTTGGCATAGAAAAGAAAAAGGAAATAGCCTGGAATTTCCAATTATTTCAATTGAGAGAGAGAGAATTTATTGTTTAAAAATCTCTCTATATCTTTATATCACAAATACAAAAAAAACAGCTTCTACAGAAATTTTATTCGATTTATGAACAATTTGTAGAAAGCTACATGAAGCATTCTCAATGATTTCTAACGCACAGAACAGATTAAATGACACATAGATTATCTGTAATTTTTTATCTTGATAAAAATTCGGATTACATTTCCTAACACGTGATGAACACGTAATGAGTTAATTATTTGCAAATTTTAGCAAACTAAAATATGATAAATTTATTGAATTATTAACTGGTTTTTTGTCGATTTCTTTTTCGAGATGTAAGTGTGTGTTTGACCTTATTTAGGATTACGTCATTTCCGGTTTTCTTTGAGTTAGTGAGAATATTGGCTGTATTTGCTTTCACGTGCTGAGCACGACCAGATAACGAATTGCGATTAATTCGACATTCGATCTTTATACATACATAGATTCTGCGATTGCAGACGCAGAAGGAGGATATCAATGCGACGCGCAAAAAGTTCGCCGGTGCTTTCTATATTGTGCTTGTGCAATGATGGATATCGCAGAGACGCGCACGGGTACAAGTGACGAAAAAGAGGAAAATTACGGGTACAGAAATAAAGCAGCCTAAAGTGGGGGAAAGTCTACTATAATAAGATATCAGCCGTACGTTGAACAACGAAGTTAGTGGAAAAATATTTAATAATAAAAAAATTTTTTTTTAATTATAGAATTGTAAAAAATATAAAATTTAAAACTTTCTATTCTCTATCTTGTCCATTTTTTTTTTTAAATAAAAACAAGTTTTCAAGAAAACTAAAGTTTATCAAAAGAATCTTACAATCTTTAAAGATTCTTCGATATTTCGGCCAGACTTCAATTCAATGTTTTCGGAACGGTACATATGTTTTTTGGTATCTGATGATAAATCGCTGCCAGCAATTATTAGGTGTGTACATTTTTTTTATGTCAAGATATTCGATGCGTCAGCGAATTATTTACTGCCATACGATTATAATTACAATACCAGACCTAAAAAAAAACGTTTATTTTTTATGTATTATTTACGATGGCAAAAGTATAGTGCAAATCTATAAAACACGGGTAAATCAACTAAACAATTTATAAACAAATCAAATGCAGTTGTTTAAAAAAACTCCATAAATTATTATACATTGTTAAATTAAAAGTCGTTAAATAAATGCACGAATTCGGAGAAACTGACACGTTAACAAACACATGCTTTTTTGCGCCGTTTCGTATTATCATACGGACGTTGATCATGCGAAAAATATTCTTCAATCAGCTTCAATACCTATTAAATTTCTTTTCAATGTTGCTTACCTGTGCAACTACGTTTATACATATACGTGATATATTGAAAAGATACGCTATGCAACACTGTACTATATGCTTACGTAAATGTGCGATACATTGAATAAAATATATGAGCAAAATTGTTTTTATCAAAATTAGATTAGTGGAGACTTTCCATCGTTGATTCATGCGCGACGCTTCGAAAGTCTGAGGTGTAATCATTGTGAGAAAAAAATGACATATATATGTATAAGATATCATTAACGCGACAATGTTTTGTCTACATTGTAAAACATCTGGGGATCCCTCTCTGTCAAACAGTGAAACAGTTATTGGAGAGCACGCATCTGCGTAACGCTCGACGCGTGTCGAGTGGCCTTGAAAAAAGCGAGGTCAATGAAATGACATGTATTCTTTTTTTTTCTGCGAAATCAATGTATCAATTTACCGACAAAATTCTGTTTATCAACGATATCGTTATCGTGGAATAGTTAAATCGAATAGAATTGTCTCATTATTTTTTCACTTCGTGATCACGCATCTTTCACGTGCCTCAACGAGCGGAATTGATACGTGCGTCGGCCCTACGCAGATATTCTCCTTGGACCTTCGCGATTATCGATCTCAGTGGTTATGCGCGTGTTTCGTTTCACGTACGCACAAATTTTGTTCTTACAGAAATGTTTACAAGTTGATTGGTTAGAAGCCATGCGATACAGTCAATCGACTTGTAACTTTTCTATAAGAATTTGCGTACTTATACGTTTCTCTCCTGTGAATAAATTTTAAGAATCGAGCCTCAGAACAGGTTTGGCCTCTGCTCGATTTCAGGTATTCGCATTACATTAAAAAGCAACAAAATGACAATAAAAATAATACCGCATTAAAACAAGAGAGAGAGTATCATTGTTCACAAAACAGCTTTTACGTACACGTATTTGTATTTAATACCATAAATGCACTTTGAAACCGGTTTCAGTTAATTATGATGCAATATTTCAGTATTGCATAGGATCCAAGCTGGCCACCAGTTTTTTGTGCTAAATATGTTTTACATATGTAAATAGGATTTCTCTAGCAAAAGAATTTTGCTTCACTGTCATTAAAATAGTCATCAAAATAATATTTGCATTATAAACATGTATAAATGATAAATATGCGTTGCGTTTAAATTTCTAATGTAAAAATAAGCATATAGCGTGCCACGAAATTAATGAAATCTCGCGGAACGGTTTAAGAATTCCAATTTTATTTTATCCCGAAATAGAACGTTAAATTTATCGACGGAATAAAAAATGACGCATCGTCAATTTCTTCCAATCACAGAGTAAAGTCTTCGAAGTCGTCGGTGACGCAAAAACTCCAATTTTATTACAAGTAAAAGTATAGTCCCATCAATGTCATGTGGGCATCAATCAAGTTAGGTTTTTAGAGGCCGGTAAACAAAATGCGAGGGAGAGGAGAACGAGTGTGTACGTGTCGAAAGACTCGTTTCATCCACGGCCATGCACGCATTTCCTTGAGGATTTCGCGTCGATGACCTTTTTCCTCTTTGTCAGTATTCACACGGGAAATATATCTCGACCCTTCGTGTCGGTGCCTGTCCACCAATCCGGCATGAGCTCCGATGGAAGTTGCCGTTTGGACTGGTTCGGGGCATGTCGACATGCTCCACGTAGCCTGGTCATGGTCATGGAGTTCGGAGTCGGTAGTGCGGTAGTGGTGGATAAACGACTGGTAAGTGGTAGTTGTTGGCTGGCACGACCGAAGCCGGTTTAGTAGCCGAGCGAGCATCGAAACGCAACGCACGCAACACACTCCACTCAGTACCAACAGCTCTTCCATTGCGTTGTATTATTGATCGCGAACGTTTGGCGAGGCGACGCGAAGGATGGGCATATTTCGCGAATTCCCAATAGTTTTTAACCTCTACAAGAAGTACAGTTAGTCCTTGGTTAATTCCGAATTCGCGTTCCTGCGAAGAAGGTTTCTAGTGACTGGGAAACAGATGCCGAATCTCCCGTTACACTGACACCGAGGTAAGCATCGTGCGGAATTACACGCGCTTATAAAAATGTGTATGGACATGTAAAGAACTTATTCTTGATACAATTTCCGCTCTGTCTAGTTTAATTTAATAAAATGTTACTCCAATCAGCCCTAATTCGAACGGGGTCGATTGAAACCGTGCTTCACGCCAGGAATGTGTCGCAAATAGACGTTTGTTTATAGCACATCCTGATCTTTAATTTAGTAACATTTTTTTTGTATAAGTATTTGAACATCAATTCAGTAATGTAGCCTAAAGAGCAATACACATACCTGAATACTTATCGCGATTATTATTTAAATTATTAGCTTTAGAAGAAATAATTCGCGTGATGCACACATGTGCACTATTTTATATATTATTGCTTATTTAAAGTATAATTTACTTGATTCGCTTTTTAACAAGTAACATTTATTTATCGTTTAAATAACATTTAATTTTATTTATTAATTTCTAGTATAGATTATTTATAACCGAAATATTCGCTTTGTGAAAAGATCTATTTGTGTAAAAAAGTTGCGATATGGTGAATCCCGATAGTCTGTCTGACTAAATTATCCAACGACCAAATTATTTTAATCCACTTTGCTAGCAAGCAGCGAGAAGGTACTGCACGCGTATATTTAACATTCTTTACTTGCCCCCATGAAAGCGTATAAATATGCGTAGTTGCGACAGAACTCGTTTCGTCCAGGATAATTTTATAAAAAAGGTGTTTCTGAATATTTCCTATGCGGGTCAATTATGAAATATATAAAGACAACATTTTCGTAATTTAATGAAATTAATTTTGAAAATTATGTTCAATTCTGCCGTACAAGTTTACATTTTATAATAAATAATTTGCACATAAATTTTGATTAACTTAAAATACTAATATTTAAGCACTAATTGCAAGTTTCCAGTGTAAGATGCAGTCTGGGGTTAAAGGCTTCAAAAACAGTTCGTTAAACGGTTTCGAGAAAAAAAAATTGTAATATAATCGGACAAACTGTGCATATATGCATATTTCACGCGATTGCTAAGCCGCGCAAAATTTTTGTGATCGAAGAATTAATCTCGGGTCGACATAGGCTATCGGATCGTGACGCCTTTTTTTTAACCACGCAATTTAACTGCGCAAATGACGAAAATTTCTCAGTACTGGCCGAAACGCTCACTGGTGATCTCCACCAAGAGTTCTCATTGTCGTCGCCGAAGACGATCGGTAATCGACTGGTTTTTCAAATCATTCTCTTTCATTCGATTTAGACTTGTCTTGAAGAAAAAAAAACAATTATTTATTCCTTTTCATGCTTATATTTTACGCTTATATATATAATTATCTCTAACACGCTTATGTTTTTCAGGTGACATTCGAGTGTGTTCCCTGAGGAAAAAGGATTATACGTGAAAATAAAAAAGCAGCATCGATCTCTGATCACAGACACGACAAACGCATTCTCTGAGCATCGTGTTAAAATATGTCGGGGATCATGGAGCAGAACGACGGCCTAAAGAGGAAACCAACTCTCGTTAGACGAGTGTCCGACATGTTTAAGGGTAAACAAAACATTCACGTTTATTATCTTTTCCTCAGTTCAGGTCCTTTCTTTGTATATGCAGAAATACTTGCGAATCGAATAATTATGAAGACTTGGCTGTTTTTTTTTTTTAATGAAAGATATATTTGATCAAATAATATCTCGCGGTGGTCTCTCTCTTATCGCACAAAATACATATATGTAGTTGGAATATTATGTAATAAAGATATTTTCGACTCGCGAATGATAGTAACTAACATAATGCCACTCATGCTGATTAAGTATTTTTTTTCTCTCTCCTAACGACAGATGGAAACTATAGTGGGCCTCCGATGCTATTCCGACATGCGTCAATGCAGAAGATCCGTCATTGCTGCCAAAATCTCAACCTGTTACCGTATCTTCTTTACTCTTTCGACAATTCCAAATCACATCCGTTAGCACGCAAGATGCACGTCTACCTCAGCCATTTTCTTCAGGAGATTATAATCGGTATTCTGGCCACGTACGAGAATTTGCGTCAATTTACGCTGCATGGAATTCATATTGAGAAACCAATCCACATACAAAAAGCGACAGAAGAAACAAACGACGATTCCGCTAAACCTGTCGTGAAGTTCAACAGGTTTAAAAAGTCGAAACGCAAGCATTCATGCTATCTGGCTGCGGCCGTGTATCTCGTGCCATTGCTGCTCGTCTTCCAGATGATGGTTATATGCAGCCTGACGATTTTCGGCAAGTATACTCCGGGTTTCCTCTTCCTGATTACGTCGCTACTGTTCCTCGGCGGTATCGCGCTTAAAATACTGTTACACGGGACTGTGATGTACGGCATCAAAAAGTGCGAGAGGAAAAAGGTGCAGTGATCTTCCGTCTCGCTGTTTTCATTGCCGCTTTATCGTCTAGAGACAATACAAGAACAGAAAAGACTCCGCGTTCGGAATCTACGTGTTCGTCGTGTTACATGGCATCAAACGTTACCTTCTGTGCACAATCGATATGACATTGACATATATTAGCACGTTTGTGTTGATGAAACCCTGACAACTTCTTCCATTTCTCTTAATGCAGTCCTTTCTTTGTCACATAACGTTTCTGGCCACCAGATTCATATATGTACTTTTTTCCTACGTTGTTAAAATCATTAAGCAGGGATGTAGATGTATAGAATACACTGCGAAGAAGACATGTTTTATAAGCTATAACGTATGCAATAATGTAAATGCAATAACGTGTTTTAAGCGGAAGCATTAATTTAATTGTTCTCAAGCGTAATCTCGGAGGACTGCTTCTTCGACTTCACGAAGCAAGTATTGCGAGTATCTTTGTCCTCTGCAGCATAAGACTGAGAATTATTTTTAACGTATATGTTTGTAAATAAACGTGCGAATGATATATGTATATATACTGTATAACGGAAGGTGAGTTTGTAAAACTGTCCTATCGCGACAAGAAGAAACGAAAGGTATAGGACCTCGATATGACTTCGATATGTCCATTGAAAGTCCGATCTGTGATGGTGTGGATACAAGTGATATCTCGTAGGCACTTGCAATACCACTTAATTACACACGATAAAAGTTATTTTATGCGTAGAGATTACATTCTAAAAATACATCTTTAACGATCGTATCTATCGATTATGTTTTCTACCGAAAATAAAAGAAACTGATAATACTTTTATTCGTTTGCAGATTTATTTATATGCGATTAAAGTCAACGAGATTAAAGTACCATATAAAAGAATTGCGTTCAGAATGTGGTGTGATACTCCTGCGTTGTTGGAATACTCGCCGATACCCGCAGCATATGCGATGACATGTGCCACGTAGTTCTGTTCGTGCACGCTATGAAAGAGATGCGCATACGGTCCTGCAAAGAAGACTCAGGATATTTCATCGTTTACAGCGATTTTGTCCAGAAGAAGCAGCTTTCGAACCCAAAGCCTTCCAACTACAATCTTCGTACTGTAATATCTAATTAGACATCGTTGACGTACCTATAGCGTATACAGCTACGTCTCCACCACCGTGATAAGCTTCGTCCGATATGATTGTAGCTTGTTGGCTATAAGTAAAATCGCTGGTATTCGATTTGGAAGGATCGATTCTCACGGCTTGACCGTCGTTATTCACGGTATAAGCGACATTGTTCGGTCCACCTGTGCTATAGGATAAAGTCGTATAGGGTATCCCGTCGTGTTTAGATTTCTGAGCAATTCCTGAAATATATTCTCGCGTGAGAAACGAAACAATTCCATTACACATTTTGATCTTACCCAAAATAGATGAACCTCGAGGGCTATATCCATTAAAACTCATTGAGTGCGTGTGATCGCTCGTGACTATCACGAGGGTATCGTCGGAGTTGATCATTCTAAGGGTGGCGTTAACGGCGTCCGAAAATCGGACAGTTTCTAGCAACGCTTGAGCAGCACGTCCGCGATGATGAGCGTAATCAATCAGACCACCTTCGACCTGAAGGAAGAACAGTCGTATTGATCTTTGTCACAACATTAACCGCGGGATTATAATCATACCATTAAAAAATATCCCTGTTTAGATTTTTGTAAAATTCGTAAAGCCGCCACGGTCATTTCTTCCAGGCTCGGTTGTCCTTTCGGACCTCGCTCTCTTTTCCAATCCATCTCGATGTGACCGTTAGCGAAAATTCCGAGTAGATAATCTACGTTATCGATATCGACCTGGGACAATTCTTCGTTGTTTTGCACGACTTTGTAAGCTAAGTTTCTACTGGATTTATCTCTCATCCACTCATCAATGAGATCACGACCGTCTTGTCTGTAACAAGCCCATGTATCTATCGGATCAAATTCGCCCGCGCTCACATTGGATTTCATCACCTGTCTGCCACCACCCATAATTACCTATAAGACGATAAACGCGTTACTCATCTCATAATTAAACAAGGTGCATGAGTCATTTTCTATTTACTCGAATATTTTTTCCTGGCTCATCTTCCACTAATTGCCTGGCGATATCTTTACAAGCAGCAGTGTTTTTAGGCATTTTTGCTTCGCATTCCCATCTACGATTTGCGCAATGAGCGTAAAGCGGTGCCGGAGTTGCGTGAGTAACTCTGGTAGTCGTCACAAAGCCTACGTTCAATTATATTATGCTTTACAAAAATTTATAAATTTATATATATCATACATGTGTAGTTATAATTGAAACAAAAATTTTTGTTTTTAGCTTTACCTTAAATTTTTTGAAAAAATTGACAGCAATTTTTACATATACACTTTATGCAAATTAACGTCAAGACAAAATTAATGATAAAAAAGTGATTGTAGAAAAAATATAATATATATTATTATATTTATGTAAAATATATGTAGTGCAGGGGAATGATCGTTTTCTAAAGGCAGATTGTTACGAGGCCTGACCTGTAGCTTTACCGGCTGCTTGAGCCCACGTTATGAACGAATCCACGTGAAAATTCGTATTCAAGCTTGCCTCGCAATCTCCCAATTGTACGTTCATGTCTACCCCTACGACTTCGTAATTCGTCTTGACTCCCCCGAACAAAGCGGTAGCGGTGGAAGCCGAATCAGGGACTTGTTTGTCCGTGGTGTACGTCTGCATTATCAGCAAAAGGTACATTCACAGACATGATCTTATATAAAAACATATTAATTAAATTACAAGTCACGTCTAATGAAAATCCTATCGAGACCTTTAGTATCCCGATATGGGGAAAATGCTCCCAGGCGAGTCGACTAGTCTCTCCACCACGATAAATTCTGCTAGCCGTTATGGTATCCGGACTCATCCCATCTCCCACAAAGAGAATCACGTTTTTCGCCTTCTTCACGTTCCAATGATACGAAAGAGATTCTTCCAGTTCTTTGTTCGCCAACTGATGCCAGTGCCGGCTGTCTGCGTCAGAAGCGACGATACGCTCAATCGCCTTATTCCTTATGTGACAAATATTATATATTTGCTCATGCAGATATGGTAATGAGTTAAAAATAAACGTTAATCTACCGGAAAACAAGTCTTGCATCTTTACAAATGGAGACAAAATCGACTTGTTAAAAATTTCGTTCTGAATAGGAATGTACGCGTTTATTTATTATTACACATAGATTACCGTTTTAAAACTTTCGCGTATCATGCGGCTTGAGTGTGATTAATCTTGCGTCCTTGAACGCGTGTGATACGAGATTACATATCATAAAATTCTATAAGCTATGCCGATCTTGTAATCACCTGAATCATGACTGTGACGACACCTGGCAAGGAAACTTTTACATTATGATTTATATTTATATACCTTCGATCGCAGCCACATTTGGAATCTTGACAAAGCATACGGCAAAGTAGATGACAAAGTATTTCATTTTTTTTTTCACAATTGACAAACTTTTGGCCAAGCTTGCTGCAAAATCTAGAAATATACTAAAGCTAAAGAAGACACTTATGTGCACTTTGGATTAAGAGATCTGTAGATACGTCCTCTGCTGATGTATGATAGGAATTATGAGAACAAAAACTATCTCAAACGGTAACGGTAGATTTCCAACCCTGATTCATGCGACAAACGTGATGATATACGGTATAATAATAACTCTCATGAGAGAAATGTATGCATATTGCTCGCTGTGTAGAGTACATCGCGTTGTACTGGAAGAGGCAAAGAGATGAAAATAAGAAAAATAATTCTAGTTGGGCTAACATTCATCGTAACGTTTTATTTGATTTGTTGTATATCCATTATCGATTCTTACAGGTCGCAACACATCGCGTAATATAATCTTTTAAGTTTCGTTTTTTTTCCCTTACTTCGTCTGTTTAGTCTTTGAACAAAACTACTAAAAATAGACTCGATAAAATCAACCGCTCAAGCCTCTTTTTTATATCTCTCGTCTTATTTGTCAAGCGCGAGTCAATGAGATCCGAGATGCAGTCAAGGATATATTGTATACATTCGAGAAGAGAAGAGAGCATTGCCTCTTGAAAATTTCTAAGAAGCTCGCAGTATAGTAGTAGATGAACCGAAAACGTACGCTACTCGTTCTCTAATTGTTAGCGCTTATTCGCTACGATATAAACGTTCTGTTACTAATATCGATCGTTATCAGTTTGTCATTTCTCAACGCGCTTTTGAATATAATGAGTGTCGGTGCAAGCGTTAATCATGGAGCGTGAGAGATCGTCATGAAATTTTCTCTACGTTCGCGTCCAATGTCCTCGGCATATTCAACCATCGGACGATTTTGATTTTGTGCAACTCGCGCCCCTTGATTTCGCTTACAATTTTTGACATTTTGTTTTGTGGTTTCGAAGAAAGAATTGTTGTTGCAACGCAATGTAAGAAGAGAAACGAGATGATACCGCTAGTTCGAACGGAAGGCAATGTTCAGCTTCGTTTAATTCCGAATAAAGTAGAAATTCTCGGTATTTTCTCTAAAAGATAAAATGCGAAATTTCGAAGTCGTTAAGCATTATGCTGAAATTACAAACGACAATTGGGCCTATTTGCAGGATAAGGCTCGCCGTGTCAACATCGGCCTAATATAAACTGTCTACAAATTCTGCCTTATATAATAAAAAGTATAATAAAGTCGTCCTCGTTACGTTTAGCTGATATACGTGTTTCATACTATCGCACAGATCAAACTTTCTTTTCGTCTTTTCTCTACACCTTTGTCCTCCTTAGCTCGAAGATTATTGCCAACGATTACATTATCTTCTCTTCGTCACATTTCTTTCTTTTTTCATTGTTAACCCTCAACTATAGCGATGAGATAAAATATAATTAAAACAGACATCCTCTCATTATAAATATACTGAAATACGCTATTTGTTTTTAACTTGCTCTTTTTATAATTTTGAATCAAGTTCATAATTTTACGTACAACTATTATTTTTTACATCACCAAATTTGCACAAGATTGTGTTATATTATTTATTCAGATCCAAGTTGATTTCTTATAATATGTACGTTCTTCAAATTCAATCATGATATAGTTGAAGGTTCCTTCCGAAAATTAACAAATCGCTTGTATCGAAGAGATTCGAGAGTCTTGCGCGAGGTACGTCCAACGAAATTTTCATGTTTCGTTTTCACGCTTTTGTCCCGATAGAATCTCGTCGCGGACGTAGGCATTTCCTGTTAACACGACTTTGAGAAATTGAATCGTATCAATTTTGCTGCCACGAAGGTCGTAGCTTAACATCGTCCGTAAATTCAACATTGCGTGTACGCGATGCGCTCAATAAAATTGACTTTACTGTGGCAGAAGACACCCTCGCGCTTTCCTATCGCACTCTCACATTCTAAACGCATGTTGATGCGCTTTGCACTCGCTGCGCAGTTCCCTCCGTTTTCGTCGGGATTCGAGAAAGTCTCGCGTTCGCATAAGCTGTAAGGAAAATGTCCTAAATTCTAAGCGTTTAATGATCTTTTACGATGATGATCCTCGAATACCTGTTTATGCCTCAGTTTAAAAAAAATCTTTCTATCTTTCTATACAATTTAAGATATCGAGTTCCTTAAATATTTTTTACAGATCCTTTTCATCAATATAAAGAATTTAAATCAATATAAAATTATAATTTTACAATTTGTTAATTTTTATGCTCATATATCTTATTTCGATTTGATCCTACGCAGTGCTTATAAGTCGAGGATCCGCATCGTTCGTGAGCTTTATTTTGATTATTAAGTACGCCGTACGAGTCGGGCTCGTCACAGTTGGGATCGATGCAGCAAGTACAATAATTGACGGTTAACATTACACGCTAATTAGTAGCATTGTCGGATTAACCTCATTGTCGCTCGTGTGATTGTATTCGTTTAATTACTTTATTCCACCAGTACTCATTCACAGAGATGGCCGAAAATTGGATCGTCTTGGAGCGGCGCAATGCGGTTCAAACGAAAACGCATTTAATTAAAATCTACTAATTGCTACTGATATGTGCACGATCGCTTTTAGTATACAATATTGAAGATCCAATTCTTTTCGAATGCGACTGCATTCGTTTTTTCGGCAATACTGATTCCTACTTTCATTGCGTCTACCTGATGATTTCTAAATCGTTGAACCATACCATTTGATGAGTTTCAAAGAATTAAATATTTTAAATGCAATTTTCTTTCGTATGACGTGACAAAAGCTTACGAGAATAAATTGTACTTTGTTCTACACTGTTGCATAATTTTAATTACACTCAATATCATAATTTGATGAGATACTGAAATTCAGGCAGATATGGTTCGCGTCTTACGATTCTATCGTATTTTTTTGCCGTAACATATTAAAATACCGTCCAATGTTTGATTCTCTTTTATTTGTATTCAAACTGTGCATCGAGCTCGATTCCACAGAGCGAATTAACGAAAATAAGACAAGAAATGGCATTTGAGACTTTCTCACTCGTCCCGCTATTCTGACGTGATAGCTCGTAAAACAGCTCGCGGTTTCTGAAAGATTTCACTCTTGTCTGCGTTTTCTTTTGGTTACAAAAGAAGTATTGTCATTATTATTAAACCGTCATTACTATTAAATGCATCGCTGAAAATAACATTGAATTTTCTGTCACCGTAGTTGTCGGATCTACCTGTCGCAGGTAGGTTCTTGCGTCAGACTACTTTCCTACTCATTGATCTTTTTGATATCGAGATTTGTTAGTTTTGACGTATAGACTTTGTAAAAAAAATTGCTTTTGATTTTCGGCTGCTTACGGGAGTTTTGCAAGGCGATAGACAATCGAGATCAAGGGCGGAATCTAAAGTCGAAAAACTGTTTACATATCGCATATGTATGTATGTATGTGTGTGTGTGTGTGTGTGTGTGTGTGTGTGTGTGTGTGTGTGTGT